CTCTCTGATGTCATGCAGGTGTTGGGGAGACGAACTTCTGCAGGTTGCTTGCTCCTCATTGGCTGAAGAGATGGCCCTCGACCCTTCTGCGCCGGGTGGCATGGTCACGTACCGGCGAACGCTGACCCTCAGCCTCTTCTACAAGTTCTACCTGACGGTGCTGCAGAAGCTCAGGCTGCAGGTCAGACATGATTTCTTTTTGTATTTTATTTGTACTATTCATTTATCTGGTCCTTGTGGTTTCTACAGCTCAGGCTCAGGTAGGATCCCAGTATTCTTCCACATTCTTGCCAAAGTCTGATCCCATTTCCCAGTGAAACAACTGTTGGAATCAGTGATTTTTAACAGAAGATGATCATATTTACTGACAAAGACCTCATTAATGCCACCATGCACCACTCTGAATTCACATAGACATCCCTTTCATTAAAGAAAAAATTTATATGAAATTATGTTTATACATTTCTGAAATTTACCAACTTTTTTCATGTTTTATCGTCAGGGTGTAAATGTGGAGGAGGTCAGGTCAGACTGTCAGAGCGTGACAGAGATTTACCATCCAGAGACTCCATGCGGTGTTCAGATCTACCAGGTACAACATCAGTTTAAATGTTGGTGTTTGTCAACCTCAGTTACTAAGCTGTTGTATTTGGGAATTTAAGTGTATTGTCTGAAATTAAACTCCAATCTTACAACAAGGTTTTCCTCAAGGTTAAATATTCTTCACATCAAACCCAGGCTTCTCTTTGTGTAAACATTCCTAGTTTTAGTGTTCAGGTGTGTAATTCCACACTTCTCCAGGCGGTTCCAGAGGGGCAGAGCCAGGATGACGTGGTTGGCCGTCCCATGATGCACCTGTCAGCTCTGAAACAGGCAACAGGCGAGGCGATTTACTGTGACGATGTACCGCTGTATGAGAACGAGCTCTACCTATCGCTCGTCACCAGCAGCAAAGCTCACGCCTATATCCTGTAAGAGACCAACTTTAGCCCAGCACACACCTGTACAACACACACCTGTCCTGTCTAACGCAGGCATGTGTGCTGTAGCTCCATAGATACCTCAGCAGCGGAGTGTATGCCCGGTGTCGTCTGCTGCATATTGGCTGATGACATCCCTGGCAGTAACGCCACTGGACCGGTTGAGTATGACGAGACAGTCCTCGCTGACCGCCAGGTGTGTTTTGTTGTTGTATTCAACCAATCAGGGGACTTCATCAAGCTTGCAACCATGTTAATGATGCTATCCTCCTGTCATAAGGTGACCTGTGTTGGTCACATCATTGGTGCCGTGGTGGCCGACACTCAGCTTCATGCTCAGAGAGCTGCCAAAGCCGTCAGGGTACAGTATGAAGAGCTGCAACCTGTCATCACTATCCAGGTGAGACCAGCTACACCTGGAGCTCTGCAGAGTAACTTGCCAGTTAACATGCCACATGGAACAAATTAAATCCTGGACAAGTTGTTCAGCTAACATTAGCATGCAAATATACTTACAGCTAACTTACATGTAGCATAGTAACAGCTGAGTACAGCAGAGCCTGACTAATGTTAGCATGCTAATGTTGCTAAATTAGAAACAGAAATACAGTCATTGTCAAAAAAACTGGAACACCTGCATTTCTGTCAGATATTGCACCACTTCTCCAAAAAAATTGTTGCCATCACAAATTCTTTG